CGCCACGGGCGTACAGGCAGCAGCGGACAAGGAGCAGCAGCAGGCGGGCGGGCGCGCATGCTACAGCACTCTTAACGGCACCAGGGCTGCTTGCAGGCGCTGCTGCCAGCCTCCCGGCAGGTGCGGAACGGCTCGGAGCGAGTGGCACACGGCAGAGGCTGCATGGCGGCACCTGTCTGCCGGGGTGGCGCCGCCACGCTTGTTCTTAGCGACGGTGCCGGGGGCAGGCCGCCCGCTGGTGCTGGGTGCGGCCTCCTGCTCCTGCTCCTGCTGCTGCTTGGCGGAAGGGGAGGCGGGGGCGGCTTGCTGCGCCGCCGCAGCGCCCTGCGAGCACACCTCCATGCTCCCGCTGGCGCCCGCCTGCTTGCTGTCGCCGCCGCCTGCTGCCGCTGCCTTCTGCTGCGCCACCTCCTTGGCGGCTCTGGCCGCCGCCGCAGCAATGACGTGGACGGGCGCAAATGCGGGCTGCTGGCCTTCCGCGGCCTGTGCCTCTCCCGGAATCATTGCGGCTGCCCCTGCGGCACCACCGGCAGCGGAACCAGCCTCGGTGCGTGGCCCGGCGCCATACAGTGACATCATGCTTCTGTTCATGCCGGTGCCGGGCGTTGCCTGGCTGTCTGCCTGCAAGTCCGGCGCATCAGCGTCCAGCTCCAGGTCGCTGCTGCCGCCGCCCTCGCTGCCTGATCTGTCGCCGCTGCTGCTGCTGCTGCCGCTGCCGGCGGTGGTGGCTCGCCCGCCGCTGCTGGCTGGCTCCCTGCTGCGGCTGCTCACGTGCTGCCGTTCCGTTGCCTGCGTGCAGACAAGGAGTGACGGAAACAAACAGGCTGAGGTCTGGAGCGTCATCCAGCAGGTCACGCCCTGCCCGGTTCACAAGTTGCTGCCGAAGAGCAGGCCAGCAAGAGGGTGGCGGCAGCGGCGGCGGCAGGCGGCGCTCCGCATGTGGCGCATGCATTGCGGCTGCCCTGCCCCACCCGCTCCCATTGCGCCCCGCCCTGTTCCCCTGCCCTGCCTCCCCACCTGTAGGCGCAATTCTGCCTTGGTGACGCCGCCCCGGCGCGCGATCGTCTCTACAGCACGCTCCACCTGCTGCCTGAACACCGGCAGCTTGTGCCGACTGTATTCCTTGTAGTTGCGCCTCAGGTACTCGCACACGGCGTCTGTATCTGTTATGTCCGAGTTGGAGCCATAATTTTCTATGCGAGGCACGAGCAATTTATCGTAAAGAGCGGTGCCTGGAGAGCGCTTGCCCTTCATATGGAGCTTCCCTGGTCAACAAAGGCAAGCAGGTGGTCAACAGAGCGAAATTCCGAGCTGTGCTGTGGCATGCTGTCCTGCTGGCAAACCTTGGGCTCCTCGTCGAGGAGCCCTCGACCAAATCGGCATGCGCAACAGACCCATACTTATCCATCTTGCTAGCCACAACTCGATGGCGCAGCCGCTGCGGCTCTGCACAGCATGGCCACACCCGCAACTCACGCCCACCAACACCCCTGCACCGGTTGCACCACGCCCTGGGGCCTGCAGAGCTTCTTGGGCGCGCCCCTGCTCCCGGCAGCGTCGCCACGCCGTAGTGTCGGCCCTGTCTCAGGAAGAGCCGCCAGCCGGCGACGGCGAAGGCTCGTCTCCACAGTCGGCCCTGCTAGCCGCGGTGCGTGTGCTTGCGGGTATGGCAGCCACTTGCTCATGGGCGTGCTTGATTGTGCAGCACTTAAGCGACGGGTTCACATTGCATTCAGCTGCCCGTTAGCAGTGATCTTCCATCCCGGCCAGGCCTGCGCCGGGACAGATGTTGCACCAGCCGCTCTCACCCGGCTGCTGCACCGCTTCACTGTCCACAGCTGCAAGATTCGGGAGTGCCCCTGGATCAGATCCAGCTGGGGCGGGCCCCTGACGACGAGGAGACCTGGACTGACTTACTGGACGCTGAGACGGACGATGTGTGGATGCGGAACCCGCAGGCAAGTGGCGTGGCCTGTGCTTGAAGAGATGCACTTGGCTTGGCCTAGATGATGATTACGTCTGGAGACTCCTCTGCCTTGCCTGCTGCAGGTGCCGGAGTTTGTGCAGGAGCTGCTGGGGGGTGAACTGCCGGGACGTAGCAGCAGCCCGCCACCAGCAGCGCAGCAGCAGCAGCAGCAGCAGCAGCAGCAGCAGGGGCAGCAACCGCGGCAGCCGCTGCAGTCTTGACCACCGAATCCGTCCCCATGGTCAGGGTTGCCATTCTGTGTGTTATGCTCTTATGTTGTTGTTGTGAGTTCACTTCCGTTCTCTACGGAATCATGCACTACAGGAGCTGCAGTCCTGAGTAAGCTGTAACCTCATACATTGGAGGTGCTTCCTCTTGCTGATCAGCACGTTGGCAGGGCAGGAATGTGCAGCTCAATGTTCGGGCTCGCCGACGCGGCACGCTGCGCCCGCTTTCATGGCGGTGCCCCCAAATCGCGGGCAGAGGGCTCATATAGCCAACCCCTCCTGTACTCTCACATGCCCTCGGACATCGTTAGCTTCGTAGTGCCCGGTCTCAAGTTAAACTTCGCCCACTCTAGTCGCTGCAGGGCAACCTCTTTGCCCAGGGAAGAACGGCAGCTGCTCATTGTAGCTTGAAAGCGCTGTTCAAAGCCGGCAGGCACTGCGTCGCTGCCACTGGGGCCCTTGCTTCACAGCACCGCCAGGCGGCAGCCACCCACGAGCGTCTGGGCATGCCGGCTGTGTAGGCTGCCACGCCTATGAGCCTGCGGTACGTGCTGCTGCTGCAACGTGACCTCCAGAAGGCGGTGCGCTTCTACGGCGATGGGCTGGGCCTGCCAGTCAGGGTGGTGACGGAGCGGTGGGCGGAGCTGGTGGCGGGCCCGTCCACGCTTGCGCTCAAGGCCACCGATGGGTGAGCCATCCGGCAGCGCACGTTGGAGCTTGCCACAATTCATGGAGGGTGGCAGAATTGCTCAGTGCTTAGTGGCTGCAATCTGGGAGAGCTATGGAGAGCGCATGCGGCACGCCTGAAAGGGTGGCGGCTGGCCTTACAGGCATGCTCATGTGCCTGCAGGGAGGCGTACTGCAGCACGGGCTACTCCCCTGTGCTGGCTTTCAATGTGGACGACCTGCAGTCCACGCTGGTGCGATGCCTGGAGCGCGGCGCCACCATGGACGGATCGATACAGCACAGCCCGCATGGCAAGGCAAGGCACAGCATCAGGAGGCCCGCAGCAAGCGCTGGGCGTTGCATCCAGCATGCTGTGCTGCCTTCCCTGCGCTGCCTTGTTGTTGAATGCAGTCACATGGTGTGGCACGAGGTAATGCCCTGGGCCCTCCCATAATTGGCAGCCACCGGCAGTGAGGCCTGCCTGCCTGCCTGCCTGCCTGCCTGTCTGCCTGCCACTGCCACTCTGCAGGTGGCAGCACTACGAGCACCAGATGGCGTCATGATCTCGCTCATGGAAACTGCGGTCGGCGAGGAGTGAACCTGGAGGCCAGCAATTGCAGCAGTGCCGCACTGCACTCTGGCCGCCTGTTCTTTGCTCCTTTCCTGTTCTTACTTGTCCTATTCAATGTCGAGCTAGGCTGCTATGAGTTGAGACATCTCTGCTGATCCCTGATCCCTGATCTTGGGGGTCCGCCAAGGCCTCATTCCTGCGTGGTCGCATCGTGATGGCCCGTGGCACGGCGGTGCGGTGCGGTGCAGGTACATCACCGCAGCACTGCTCGGCGGTGCTCCCTGATCCTGGCAATTGCGCCGCCCCATTCAAACGGCTACAAGCGTGGCCCTGTGTGCTGCCCGTCTCACTCTGTTTCGAAGGTGCCAGAGCGTGCTAGGTCGCAAGGAAGCGGCCAGCACGAGTTGCAGAGGCTGCACAGCGGCGTTGGAACAGCAAGGAGGGCCCCGTGAGGGCGAAGGCCCAAGACGATGAGGGCCCAAGCAATCCTTCACGCCGTGCACGACCGCCTGCAGGACCTGCCCTCGTGGTGCGTGGTGCAGCTGGCAGGGCCTGGCTGTTGGGGTGCGAGCCCCGCCACGCGTCTATGGGCACCCGCACCCATACACATTCTTGCTTGTCCTCTGTGCCTTGCAGGTGGCGGGACATCGACGCTAGCCTCGCCTGGCAGAAGGGCGTGTTCGATGGCCTGGCAGTCGCATACTGCGCGCTGGCAACGGTGGCGCTGGTGAGCGGCCGGTGACGGCCCGGCGGCCTGGGGTCGGGTCTCCATTGGGGAGCCGCTTTGTTCGTCCAGCAGGCCACACGCAAGCAGCAGACGAACCCTCACCACGCGTCATGCATGCCTGCCTCCTGCCTGCCCGCAGATCCAGATCATCCGCATTCAGCTGCGCGTGCCCGAGTATGGGTGGACCACACAGAAGGTCTTCCACCTGCTCAACTTCCTAGTCTGCGGCCTGCGCTCGGGCGTGTTTGCCTTCCGCACCCAAGTGCAGGACCTGCCATCCACGCTAATGCAGGCGGGGCTGCTGGACCTGCCAGGTCAGCGCAGCGGGGGAGCGGACACACAGCGGGCAGGGCAGGCCACGGCCGGCGACTGTGCTGTCGCAGCAACAGCTGCGAGCTCCCACGGATGTGCCGCCGCCCGATTCCCCCCTGGCGCCCTCCCCCCTCGCAGGCCTGCTGTTCTTCTCCACCTACACCCTGCTGGTGCTGTTCTGGGCGGAGATCTACTACCAGGCCCGCAGCCTGCCCACCGGCTCGCTGCGCCCCGCGTTTGTGGTGATGAACCTGGGCGTGTACGCCATCCAGGTGTGTGGCAGGCCCCTGTGCATGGCAGGCGCGGGCCAGGCACGGTGTAAGCAGGCGCAGAGGCGCTGGTGCGCCAGCCATGCATGTCCTGCAGGGCTTACCTGCCGCGTACACCTCCCCTTGCCCTGCGCTCCCCACAGATTGGCCTGTGGGTGTTCTGCTCCGTGAGCGGCACCGAGGGGCAGCAGCAGCTGGGCAAGGAGCTGTCGGGCTGCTTCCTGGCCTTTGTGTCGGCAGCTGCCGCCTTTGCCTTCCTTCTCTACGGCGGCCGCCTGTGGCTCATGCTGCGCCGCTTCCCCATCGAGTCGCGCGGGCGGCGCAAGAAGCTGCGGGAGGTGGGCCTGGTCACCACTATCTGCGCCACCTGCTTCCTCTTCAGGTGGGCCGCATCGCGGGGAAGGGGGCTGGGGAGGTGGCGTGCTGGAAGGGAGCGGTGCATACACAGCCCGCAGCCTGCCCGCCGTGGGGCGCTGTTGGGCGCGTGGCACTCAATGGCAGCAGCAGCAGCATTGGTTTGAGCTGCGGCCGCCTGCTGGCCCGCCAACCGACGCCGGGCCCCCGCCCCGCCTGCCTGCGCTGCCCACAGGAGCATCATCGTGGCCTGGTCTGCCTTTGACTTTGAGGATGCGGACCTGGATGTGCTGGGCCACCCGCTGCTCAACCTGGTCTACTACAGCGGCGCCGAAATCATCCCCTCTGCCCTCGTCCTTTACATCCTGCGCAAGCTGCCGCCCAAGCGACAGCAGCAGGGTTATCAGCAGATTCCCAGCCAGTGAGGCGGGCGTGCCCGTGAGCAGGGAGGCTTGTCCAGCTGTGCCGCGGTGTGTGGTGCACATGCACGTCACGCAGGCGCAGCAAGTCAGTTGGGTTTCTCCTGCCAGCCGCTGGCAGCCACCATGTGCCGATCGTGCCTGCTTGTCGTCCCGCCTCCACTTCTGATCCCCGATGCAGATGCTTTGTGCTACCTACTGTAGGCCCTTTTTGAATTTGACTTCTTTGCTGTTTTCTTTTCTCACCCTGCCCAAACATGCTTTCAAGCAAGTTGTTGGGACCCGTGCAATGACTGCCCCTCTTTGCATTTCCAGCTCTCCAGCAGTGTGGCACCCGTGCCCGCCGCTGACGATGTTGTAACAACAAAATTGACCTCGCTGCGCGAGTGGCGGTCACGCTGCGGCATGCTGTGCCTGGCAGTGCCTGCCGAACTCTGGATCTTGGCACCGCCGTCTTCCAGTCGCATCTTCCAGTCGCAGTTGTGACTCGCAAGTATCGAATCGGCCAGGTCACCTGCCCGCTTCTACGACGCATTGACCGCCTCAACGAGCGACAAACGCATTTTAAACCAGTCGCACGCCGTTATTCAGCTGCGAAATGGAGGCGAAGGAGCCGGGGGAGGGCGCGCCGCTGCTGCTTCACGCCGTGGCGTGTGGAGCCACAAGCCCTACGTCACATAGCGACAGCATGGCGGGCAAGCCGAGCGAGGCAGCACCCCTGCTGATACAGGTCTGCACAGCCTGTGGCGCTGCCTCCAGCCCCGCCCAGAGCGGCGCTCCCGGGGTGGAGCTCAGCGCCAGGACTGAGACAGCAGGTGGCAGCTCGCAACCGCCCGCCGGCACCCCGGCGGCGCTTGGGACGCCGTGGGGCATCACCACCGCGCTGCTGCTGGCCGACATGTTTGGCATCGGGAGCCTGGCCCTGCCGGGAGTGTTCGCTCGCCTGGGCTGGCTGGTACGTCCGGGGGCACCACTGTTTTGTGTTGCTGGGCTGGCTGTTTCACATGAACTTATGTTATGATTGTTTCATTCATTCATGAACAGCTCCAAGGCCACCGCTACACCTGCGTCTCTCAAATGCATCAGCCAATAGATGTCATGTGACCCCTCCTATTCTCCTACTGCAGGTCTCTGTCTCGCTGCTGGTCGCCTTTGCACTGGGGTGCGGATACCTGGGAATCTTATTCTCCAAGCTGGCGGTGGCGGTTCCGTCCGCCCAGAGCATGGATGAGATTGGCGCCGCAGCGATGGGGAAGACGGGGAAACGGCTGGTGTATGCCCTGGCCGGGTCGGCCATTGTGGTGGATCCAATCGCCCTGCATATTGTGTCTATGTTGGCTGTTCAACAGATTTTTCCAGCCCTGGGCACGCTGGCGGCATCGGCGGTTGTGGCCGCCTGCATGCTGCCGCTTGCTCAGATTCAGGTAGGCGCTGTGGGCGGGAGGATGATCATCCTCCGGCATCCTGCTCCATTGCCATGAGTGAATGAGCGCTGCTCTGACCACCCCCAACCACCCCATGCAGAGCATTCACGATGCCGCCTGGCTGTCCTTGGTGGCAACCGTCTGCATGATCTGCGCTGTGCTTGCAACGCTGTTCAAGCTGTTGGCTATCGAGGGGAGCCAGTGGGATGCCACCTCGCTGCTGCCGCCGCCTGGCACGCGTGGCATCGAGGGCTTGATTGCGGCGCTCTGCCTGTGCTTCGCCTTCGGGGGCCAAGTCAACTGGTGAGTGTTACATGTGACAGTGCATTGCAATTGGTGCCTCTGTACAGCAAACAGAAGACAGGCCCACAGCCTACCGTTGCAACCGCCAGGCTGCCACGCTACCCCTGCCCACAGGATGCGCTACATCAGTTCCATGCAGCACAGAGAGGACTTCCGGTTTTCAGCAGAACTAGCAGATGCAACGTTTAGTGTGTTCTACGTCTTGATTTCGGTTGTCGGCTACTCCAAGCTGGGCCCCAACTTCGACCACAGCAAGCCCATCACGTCGGTGCTGCCATGGGACTGGTGGACGGTGGTGATCAACACCGCGCTGTTGATTCGTTGCTTGGTGGCATATGTGCTCAACGCCAACGTGTTCTCCGATCTCTTCTGCCGGCTGGGCCGGCCCTGGCTGAGCAAGCTGGAGGATGCCAGCCCGCGCATGGGCCGCAGGGCATCCTGGGCGCTCGTCAGCTGCTCGTGCGTCATCATGAGGTGAGAATGGCTGCCATGCAGTGCCCTCCCGCATACCACAAGTGCCATCCTTGCCTCCTCATCAGTTCCAAGCCCTGCCGCTGCAGCTTCCTGGTGGCCTATGCGGTGCCAAAGTTTGACCTGGTCCTGGCGGTCATCGCTGTGGTGGGAGACGTGGCAGCTCCCTACACGCTGCCCGCGCTGTTTGGCCTGAAGCTGCTGCCCGACCTGCATCGCTGGGAGCGGTGGCTGCTGAAGACGCTGGTGGCCGTCAGCGTTCTCTTTGCTCTGTTTGGAGGGTATGCTGCCCTGTATACCCTGCTGGAGACCCTGGCAGATTGAGGAGGGTAACCGCGGGCATTTACAGGACTGGAGAGCAAGACATGAGTTACCCGAGTGTGTTGAGCGACCCCGAATGTAATATGGCAATGAAACTCTACCGCAGCGACTCGATTTGCTCGGGCGTGAGGGGCACCAAGTCCTCCTGCACACAGGCCAGGCAACGCCAGTGCACATGTCAATGCAATGCAGCAGCCAGGGAGCGTTCTTCATTATTCTTTGTTAGATGCCTACCTGGAACTGGCGGCCAACAGTGCTCAGGAAGCTCAGCCCACACAGAACGATCAAGAGCGTGGCCATCAAAAAGTTGCCCACAGGACTGAGTGCATCGGGCTGCTCCGCCATGTTTGCGGCTGCAACAGCAGTGGCATTAATACAGGCAGGGTGTGGACGGAGTGATGCAGCACACACACACAGACCAGAGCAATTTGCGGAGGTCGGCGCGGCCAGGGCAGCAGGAACCAGCCCAAGAGTGGGCACCTTGAGTGGGCAGGTCGGGGCGGGGAGCGGTGGGCCGCGGGGGTGCCGCTGCGGGCTGCTGCTCCTGCTGCGGCTCAGCCTCCGCTGGCTGCTCCTCGGCTCTGCACACTAGCCGCCTGAGGGACCCGGCAGCCAGGCGGTGCCTTGGGCGGAGGCTCGCCATGGAACAGTGTGCGCGTAGCGCGCATTTAGCGTTCACGCTGCATGAAAGCATCGTGGAGATTGGTGTCGTGGTGATGGGTCAGGCAAGGTGCAATGCAAGTGGCGCAATTGCCAGCTGGAAAACTACTTGGTGCTTGCGTACTATGCCCGCCCCCCTGGATGGTTTTATTCCCATCAAGGAGCACCCTGAATCCAGTCGGCTATCTACCACCAGCCTTGCCCCGGCACGATCGCCCACCCATGTCGGCTTGCACTTCCACTGGTGCTGCTTCAGTCTTGGGGTCGCTGTCTGCCACCTCTCGGCAGGTGAGCGCGATCGGCAGCGATTGCTGGAGCGGCGCTGTCGCGTGCAGGGTTGCTTCACCTTCAGCCTCTCGACACCTCCTTTTGCACTGCTGCAGAGGAGCCACGGGCAGGCGGGCACCTCGGCCAGGACACCAGCGGTAGTGTTGCACCACCGCCGACGCCTGGCGGGCTCCCCAGCCTGCGGGGCAACGGCGGGAGGGCTGGGCGGGCGGCGGCTGCGGGGCCCACGCAACGGCAGCAGATGGACGTGCGCGCAGTGGCTGGAGAACAAGTGAGCTGTGAATTGCGGTTCCAGCGGGGCAGCCGAGACAGTTTAGCACCCCACCTGCTGGCATGCGGCCAGCCAGGTGGCCGCAACTCCGTCCAGATACGCTGGCTGCGTTGGCTGAAGCCATGTGCCGCCCCTTTGCTGCTGCAGCGCCCAGATCGACTGCGACGTGCCGCTAGAGGAGGCGTTTGCGCTGTGGGAGGACCGCGAGCGCATCCCGCTCTGGATGCCCTGGATCACCAGCGTCAAGGTGGGGCTGCTGCTCGGCCCGCACATGGCTGCCTTGCAGGACCCTCCCAGCATGGTTTGCATGAACAATGGAAACTCATGTTGCAGTGTGGGCACCTCTCCCTGCGCTGTGGCTGGCATGCTGTCTCCAATGCGCAGCAGCAGCAGCGCAGGTCCACAAGTCCTGCCGACCACCCCTCCTCTCGCCACCCCTCCCTCTGCTGCGGCCTGCAGGTGCAGGCGGACGACCCGCGCATGTCCCGCTGGACGCTGTCTACCTTCCAGTTCAACCGGCAGTGGGAGTTCTCGTGGATGGCGCTCAACATGACGCCGCTGAAGCACCAGAAGATCCACTGGCGATCCGTGCCGGGCACCGTGGGCGGCAGCCTGGGGTCGGCGCTGGAGGTGGCCAACAGGTGGGCCTGCCTGTGTGGGATCCGCCAGGAGCCATCAACGCGCGCTTGGTGGGGGGAAGGGAGGACTCAAGAGGGAAACAAACAACCGTGGAAACCAAGCGACCATGTCTGGGGCTGCTGACAGCACCCCGCAGCCCCCAACCGTTCACCTTCTCCCATACACTGTTCACGTTCTCTGATGCCCCGCTGTGCCTGCAGGGGCCAGATTCGCTTCCTGCGTAAGGGCCAGCAGCGCTGCACCGTGAAGCTGACCATCAGCTATGAGGTGCCCAACGCCATGGCGCCCTTTGCCAACGTGAGCGACCGCTGCCTTGCCGGCTGGAAGGCATGCATGTGCCTGCCCGCACACGCCGGCCGGCCCCTGGCTGCCTGAAGTGCTTGCTGCACCGTGCGAATCAGCAACTGTGGCTTGCACCCCTGGCCACTCCACTGCAGCTGCTGACGCCGGTGGTGGAGGGCGTCCTTCAGGCGGACATGCAGCGTTTTGCAGAGTATGCAGTGCAGCACCGGGCCAGCACCAAGGCGTGACGGCCCACGCTGGCTGTGGCACCACCCCTCACTGCGCCTGTGTACCACCAACTTTGCTGAGCTGGCAATGCAATTTCGTTTCGCGACGATCAGAATACCTGCTGTCTGCTGTTTTCTCTATGTAATTACATGCCGAAGCATGCTGGGGCAAACGTGGCATAACATGGCAGTGGTGCCGCACAGCGCCTGCATGCATGGCATGGGCAGCTGGCATGCCTGGCGCTGCTGGCGACCGGACCAAAGAAATGTGGAAAAAAGGCAGCCAGCAAAGTAGGGCCAGGGTCCTCGCAGAGAGCAGTTCAGACAATGGCAAGCTGGGATCAACTTGGGAGGGAGAATACGTGAAAGGGGCAGGCGTTTGGCATCAGTCCAGACGGGGCCGGGCAAGGTGCTGGCGTGCTGGGGTGCGTGCAGAAAACGCTGGTGCCACAAATGAGGTTACTAGACAAGGGTGGTGGTGGAGAGGAAATGCAGAGGCTTGATGTATTTCGTAAATGTAGGACGGGACTGCGCTGGGGTGGGTGGGCAGCCTCCAAAATTATTCAATCGTGGTTCTTTCGAGTAATAAGAGAGTACAGCAATGGTGGCATACACCGGCCGGCGCCGCAGCGATGCGCGGCACCGAGCCTGGTTTACAACCCTGGACCTCCTGCCACTTGCTACTCCTGCCGACGGCGCCATCGCCCCCACCCCCCGCCGCTGCCCGCGCCCGCACAGCGCGCCGCGCTGCCACGGCACGCCGCCACCTCACAGCTTGCTGGCGGGCTGGGGGGTGTTGGGCGTGGGGGCCTGGGCGCAGCAGGCGCCGGCGCCCTCCGAGGCGCTGGCGGCGGCTGCGGCGACCGAGGTGCCCGCGCCGCCGCGCTGCGCGTCGTCGTAGTTGCGGGAGGCGATGTTGCGGGTGGGGGGCAGGTCCAGGGTGGGGTTCTGGGTGAAGAAGTTCCAGGGCTTGAGGTGGAACTCCAGGCGCTCCACAGGCATCACGGGCCAGTCCTGCGGGGTAGAGGCAGGAGGGGGGCGGGGAGGAGGGTGAGCGCTTGCAGGCGCCCGCGCAGGCGGGCATGGCGTCGCACGGCGGGATGCGCGCCACGCGCCGCCGAGGCTGTTGAGCGCTGCTGCACCGGCCGCAGGCGGGCACCGGCCGCAGGCGGGCGCGGGGGCTGCGCGGTGCGCGCACCTCCAGGCGCACGACGTGCGTGATGCCCAGGTTGAACCACAGCACGCAGTCGGCGCCGTCCAGGTTGCGGTTGGCGCGCGTCCACTGCCCGATGCCCTGGTTCTGCTCCGGGTCTGGATGCAGCGGGTAGTCGCCTGCGGGGGCGGCGGCGCGGGGGGAGGGGCAGCCGCGTGGGCATGCAGGCGCGAGGAGCAGGGCGCAGGGCGGCGCCGCCGGCCAGCCAGCCAGCGCACCCACGCCTCCAGCTCTCAGCCAGGCCTGCCAGCCCACCCACCCACCCACCCACCCGCGGGGTTCATCTCCTTGGGGTGGTAGGGGGTCACCCACAGGTGCTTGGTGGCAAAGACACCGCGGGTGGCGTGAGACGAGGTGGGCTGCACCAGGGATGGGCATCAGGGGCCGGCAGGTCAGAGCGTCAAGCGACAAGGGCAATGGCGGCGAGCGATGTTTGGGTTGCGGGGCGGCGGCTGCGGCTGCGGTGGCGGGCATGCTTACGTGGGCCAGCATGGGAGGGCAGGGGCTGCCCGGCATGAGCTTCCAGGCCACAGGTTTGCCCGTCACCGGGTTGATGCTGTTGGGGTTTTGCACCTGCGCCAGGGCGGGGCGGGGGCAGGGGGCTTGTCACAAACGGCGGGGCGCGCGGCGCCTCGGGCAGGCGGCTGCCCAGCAGGCGGTTTCCAGGGCAAAAAAGGCGGCGCTGCTGGGCATCCAGCACAGCCCCCGCTCTGCTGCGCTGGCCTGCCCTGGGGCCCCAGCGGCTGCAGGCGGCGCACCTTCCACACGCGGGAGCGCTCGGGGGCGCACATGCGCTGGGCCTCCGCCTCCCGCCCCAGCACGCGCTCCACAATGTCAAAGCCCACGCCGTGCGGGTTGGCAGGGCCCAGCGGCATCGGCTCGGCCTCCACCTCCACCACCTGCGCAGAGGGGCAGAGGGAGAGGCAAGACATGGTGTGTGGGGGGGTGGGGCGGCAGGCCTGGATGCAGCACCCGCGGCTGCCTCAGGCACGCTCAACCGTGCGCCTCCCACCCTGCGCTCTGCTGCCTGGCTGCCACTCCCGCCCCACCAGACGCGCCCACCCCCTCCCCCTCCCCGCACCAATCTCAACCAGAAAACACACACACACACACGCACGCACACACACACACACACACACAGCGCCTCACCTGCAGGTTCTTGCCTCCCTCTGGGCAGTCCACCGCGGGGTCGAGGCGCACCATGAAGAAGTGCTGGTGGATGTGGGCGTTGACGCCGGGGGCCAGGCGCGTGCCCCACTGCGGCTGCCCGCCGTTGGCCACCTCGGCGGGGAAGAGGGCGTGGGTGGACACGATGCCCGTCAGCTTGCCCTCAAACCCGATGGTGCCGTCCTGGTACAGGTACCAGTAGAAGCCGTACCTGCGGGGCAGGCGGCGGGGGGGCGGTACGGGGGAGGTGGGCACAGGGAAGGGTGAAGGAACACACCGGTGCCCCAAGCAGCAGCCCTCAGGCGGGCAGGCAGGCGGGCAGGCAGCAGCCCTCAGGCGGGCGGGCTCACTCGTAGTTGGCAATGGTGGCGATGAAGGAGATGACGAGGCGGCGGTGGCGCCGCACCTCCACGTGGCCGTTGCGATACTCGTAGTGCTGCAGGGGGCAGGGGGCGGAGGCGGGGGGGGGGGTCGCGGGCAGGGTGAACAGGCAGGCAGGCGGCCGGTCAGGAGCGCTGGCCCATTACAAGGCACGCAAGGCGGGCACGCCCTGTGCCCAGCCCGGCGCCGTCCCCGCCCCCACATCCCCGCCCCCATCGCCCACCTTCCAGGCCATGCCCACATCCTCCTCGTGCATGCACACCGCCTTCTTGATGACGGTCACGCCGCCGCGGGAGTTGTTCAGCACGGCGTCAAAGTACTTGATGTGGCCCAGGCAGTCGCAGCCCAGCTCCAGCGGGTTGGCGCAGAAGCCCAGCCCATAGTCCACAATGTCGTAGGCGGCCTTGTACTGGAAGGGCTCTGCACCAGGGGCCAACAGCTGGCGCGTCAACGCAAAAACCATTGTTTTTATTTCATTTCCCGTTATTTTATTTGCTGCCTGCTCACCCCTGGGCTCCCCGTAGGGCACGATGATCTCGGCCAGCGCGGCGCGGTACAGCACGGGGCGCCCCGCCAGCGACAGGTTGTTGAGGATGAGGCCCTCGCGCCAGGAGAAGCCGACGTGGAAGTCCCAGCCCTCCCAGCTCACGAGGTTGCCGCGCACGGCGAACGACGGCCCCTCGGGCTGCACAATGTTGAGCGGCTTCTGGGTGGTGCGCCAGGGGCGGTCCACCAGCGTGCGGTGGAAGTTGGCGTCCTGGGCGGGCACATCCCACCCCGCCTCCCCGTTCTGGCTGTACACTTTGTGGATCCTGCGGGGAAAGGGGGTGGCGCGGCGGCACGCAGGCAGGCTGGGGCGCGCTCAAGCAGCGGGAGGCGGGTGCGCTCGCACATGCCCCTCCAGCCAGCCCGCCAGCCGGGCGGCGAGCAAGCACAGGGACACAAGAAACGTGCCGGCAGAGTCAGCGGGGGCCCAGAGTGCCCCCCACCCACCCACCCCACCCACCCACCTGTCTGCGTGGTAGTCGTAGAAGATGATGGTGTCCAGCGGGTGGGCATAGTGGTTGTCGTCGGGTGAGGAGCGCATGTAGAGCAGGAACTGCAGGATGCGGCCCTCGGGAGAGCCGTAGCGGAAGCCAGAGTACCTGCGGGGGGGTGGCGGGCGGGGAGGGGGCGTGGTGAGGGGCGGTGGCAGGGGCAGGAGGCCAGATGGCGGCAGAGCCGGGGAACCGCCGCCACCACGGAGGGCAGCAGGGTGTCCCACGAGCGGCTTGCTCAAGTCGGCCAGTGCCGCACGCGCGGCCCGCTCCCCGCCTGGCGCGTGGCGCCGGCCCCCCGGGGCGCCGCCTCACCACGGATCCACCGCCAGCAGCTGCATGTCGGTGATGCCGTAGCGCGACGCCATGAGCGCCAAAAACTCCGGGTTCGCCTTCAGCCTCTCCTCGCTCTCCACCACGTCGTCGATCGTCAGGCAGGGCTGCACGCCCACCATCTGCGGCGGGGCAGGGCGGGCGCGGCGGGCGGCGGCGGGGAGTGGGCAGGACCGCTGCCGCCGCCTCCGGCGTGGACAGCACGCAACGCCCGCCAGGCCATCCCTGTGCCCTGCGCTACCCCAGCCCAGCGAGTCCAGCAAGTCCAGCCCACGCCCCCAGCCCAGCCCAGCACCCGGGCGCACCTCCTTCCACGACAGCACCTCGCCCTGCGCCCCCTCCAGGTCCACGACCGCCTCAATCACGGCATACGGCTCGGCGGTGACCTCCAGCACAGCCAGGGCGCGGCGCGCGGGGCGCGGGCCGTCGCCACGCAGGTACGCCAGCACGGCACCCTTCTCCGGCTCCTGTGTGGCGGGGCAAGGCGGGGCAAGGCAGGGGCGGGGGGCAGTGTCGGGGGCGCTGGCGCCGGCGCCGTACACCAGGCGGGGCAGCGCCGCAACAGTGCGCCTCCTCCTCCTCCTAGGAGGCCCTGTGCTGCCTGGTGCGCACCTGCGCCGCCATGGAGTTGAAGCGCAGCTTCGGAATGCCCAGCTGGGCGCCATACTCCCGGCACGCCTGAGCAGCGGCCAAAATCTCCTCGGCACGGATGGGGTCCAGCGGGTGCAGGTCACCTGTGGCACGTCAGGCACAGGGGATATTGGAGAGGGCGCCCTTGGCACCGGCAGGGGGCGGCTGGTGCACGATGCAAGGCCGGCGCCCGGTGCTTTGCGCGACGTGGTGGCGTGCGCAAGGCGCCGGGGCGGCAGCACCCTGCCACCACTTATTCGGTCTCGAACCGCCTCAAACGCGATGCTCTTGCCACCCCGCAGCCTCTGCAGCGGGTGCGGCTGCCTGCACGGACACCCCAAGGGCTTCATGCCCCTCACCTAGGGTGACGCCCGCCTGGGCCTTCCCGGCAAGGGTCCCGGCCCTCCTGGCCACATCAGATTGGTGCTGAAGCTGAGTCGTCATCCTGGTTGTAGTTGAGCTGGTAGGCCTCCAATGAGAGAGCGATTTCCGTATGAGCGATTGAGCCAAAATCCATAACTTTGGCGCTCACAGCATTCGTCAGCAAGTTGTTGAGGATGGTTGGCAGCAGAAATGAGGCGCTGGGAGGCTGGCGCCGCCCATGTAGCCCGCGGCCCCTGTGTGTACATCGGCAGTACCCACGTGAGGGAGCCAATTCAGCGCCACCCAATCAGAGCAGTGCATTCAAGGTCACCAGGCTGTTCAAGAGCCCCTGCTGCCGCACCGCCACACAACTCGCCATCCCAACCCAAAGCCTGGGCTCCTCCAATCGCCAGCAGCTACGTGCATCGCACTTGGGTTGCCTAGAACAGTATGAGGCGCGGCCTGGGGCGGCTTGCGGGCCTGGTGGATAGCATGGCTGCCGCCACTTCGAGCAGGGGGCTCCAGGAGAGCACGGCAGCGAGCTTGGCGGTGCGGGGACGATGCCCATGGCAGCCGCTCACCGCGGCGGGGCAGCGCGGCTATGGACAGCCGGCACTGTCGGAGCAGGAGGCGGGCGGCAGCGGCAGCGTTGCAGCAGCAGCAGCGTTGCAGCAGAGCATCCGCAGCAGCCGCACCACGCGGCGCACCGGCCTGGTGGCGGTCAAAGTGGGCATGACACAAGAGTGGGACGCTTGGGGCGTGCGTGTGCCGCTCACCGTGCTGTGGGTGGACGACTGCCAGGTGCAAGCGGGCGGCACGGCACTGCTTGCAGCGCCCGAGTTGCATATGCATGTGCTGTCCTGCGCTGGCACATCTGACGCCTCGCATTGCCTGTTGCCACTCAAAGCATTGCCTGTTGCCAGCGTGCCGATAGCCACAGCCTGGTGCCAGTGTGCTGACCCCACCGCGGGCACTCTTGGCCGCCCTGCCTCCACCCGTCCTCTGCAGGTGGTCCAGGTCAAGACCGACGACAAGGAGGGGTACACCGCGCTGCAGCTGGGCTCCGGCTCCAAGCGGCCCAAGCAGCTGCGCGGCACGCTGCGAGGGCACTTCGACGCGGCAGGTGCGGTCACGAGCGGCTGCGGCAGCGGGGGCACCCGCCCACCTGCCCTCGGATGCGCTGCCTGGCTGCTGGCCCCGGCAGCATGCTGCAGTGCGACAGTTGGCCTGCGCGGCTGCTCCGGATCCCAGCATCGCCCCACAACTGTGCCAGCGTGCCTTGCTGCTGCCTCCCCTCCTGTGCCATCACCCCCCAACCCTCCCTGCCCCCCCCCGCACGCGTGCAGGCGTGGCGCCCAAGCGCAGGCTGGCAGAGTTCCGTGTGTCGCCCGACGCCCTGCTGCCAGTAGGCCACGAGCTGCGTGCCTCCCACTTTGTGGCGGGCCAGTTTGTGGATGTGACGGGCACCAGCATCGGCAAGGGCTTCCAGGGCGTGATGAAGCGCTGGGGCTTTGCCGGCCAGCCCGCATCGCACGGCAACTCGCTGGCGCACCGCGCCGCTGGATCCACGGGCGCCTGCCAGGTGCGCGCGCGCTGCCACGCAGGGAGCAGGGGTGGATGGGGCAGCTGCCGTCCCTCTTGCCTGGACCACCCGCCCAGGTTGCCCTGGCCCTCAGCCACCACCCCTCCGCCCCTGCAGGACCCGGGCAAGGTGTTCAAGGGCAAGAAGATGCCGGGTCGCATGGGCGGCGAGCGCGTGACGGTGCAGAACAACCAGGTGTTCCGCGTCGACCCGCTGCGCAACCTGCTGTATGTGCGGGGGCATGTGCCGGGGCACAAGGGCAACTTTGTGCTGGTGCGGGACAGCGCCAAGAAGACGCTGGAGCAGCAGCCGCCGCTGCCGGTGCCCACGCTGCTGGAGGGGGAGGCGCGGGTGACGGTGGCGCCCCGCGCTGCCACCGACCCTTACGACTACAAGGAGTGAGGGCGCCACAGTGTAACTGCACCCTCAGAAGCCACAGCAGCCACAGCGGCATGCAGAGAAACGAAGTGGCTGTGGGGCCACCGCGGCGGAAGACGGGGCGGGTCGCGCGGGGCAGTGCGGCTGGCGGTGCTGCAGGCACCCTGCGCCACCTCAGTCTGCCTCGCAATCCCTCTCCTTAGAATACGCAAAGGAATGCCTGGCTCCCTGCTGAGTCCGTGCTGGGACCTTGCCTCCCAAATGGCCCTCTCCTGCCGCCCCGCCCGCATTCTCGCCCCATCTGAAGCGCACCCTGCAAGGTTGTTTTGCTGCCCGCGTCTGCTCTGCTGCCCTGCCTTTGCTTGGTCGCCGCCGCGCTGCATGGCCGCCTGCACTGCGTGATCGCCTGCCCCTGCACCACACTGCACGTTTTTGGTTAGGACCAGGTAAGGCGCGTTTGTTATAGGCCCCTCCTCTTCGCACCCCCGCTCCTTCTGCCTCCTCCGGCCTCCACCAACCTGCTAGCCAGCAGCATGAGCAGCCAGCCGGGCGGCAACGCCGCTCTGCACCACGCACCACCCCCGCACGGAGCACCCTGCCCCCACTGGAGGCTGGCGCGACTGCGGCGGCGGCGCCGGAGGTCGCTACATATTGAGGGAGCCTGGTGGTGTGCTTCTGCAGACCGCCACCCGCCCGGCTCAGCAGGGCTTACTTGAAGGTACGAAAGCTGGCAGGGGGAGGAGCAGTGAGCACAGGAGGGTGCTGTTTCCAGCCATCACCGGGCCACATGTTGCCGGCTTCGTCTGCCTGCAGGCGAGCGGCGCACCGCAGCCCATGGACACCCGGAGCTTTGTGGACTGCCAATTCTTCCTGCGAGGATCCTGCGGCAAAGGCAGCTTGTGCCCTTTCAGACATGACCCGGTGCGCCTGCCGTGCCAAGCGCCATCCTCTCTGTCCAGCCTGCACTGCACCTCCCAACGTCGCTGACCCCCCACTCCCGCCTCCCATTCCTGCAGTCCAAGATCACCGGCTTTCGCCAGCAGCAAGGCCAGCAGGACTGTCTCTTCTTCCTGCAGGGCCGCTGCACCAAGGGCTCGCTCTGCCCCTACCGTCACGACCCGGTGGGTGCGCGCCTCCTGCCCTGTGCGCCTCAGCTGCTGCACATGGTCGCACCCTTCAAGCCCAGCTGCAGCAGCTAGCACTCAACATGTGAAACATCACTGTCGATGCTGAAATGCTTGCGCCCGGGATGCCCACACCTGCAGGCCAAACTGCCACAGCAGCTTCAAGCAACAGCAGCAGTAGCTGGGGCACCTGCTCCCGCGCCATCCCCCGTCACTGTCGACTTTGGCCCGGCTGATGCCCCGCAGCAGCCGCAGCAGCCGGAGCCCGCAGCTGTAGCAGCCCCCAGGCTGATTAGCATGCCTGCTGCAGCAGCGCCCACATTTCCAGCACTACGGCCGGTCAGCATGCCTGCTGCAGCAGCGCCCACATTTCCGGTACTACGGCCAGTTGCAGCGGCCGCCACAAGGCAGTACCCGCAGCTGCAGCCTGTAGCACAGCGCCCGGCTGCCCAATCATCGCCCGCTGCGGCACGTGCCACTGTGGCAGCATCACCAGCTGCAGGCGGCATTCCATCCCGGCTGGCTGGCAGGCTGGGGCCTGCTGTTGCCAAGGCGAATGATGACCATCCAAGCAGCAAAACGCAGGTGGGGGGGTCGTTGTTTAGGTGCCTCCTGCTTCAAGGACTGCAATCTCTGTTGCTGTTCCCAGAAACCGTCCTGTCAGCAAAATGGTACATAATGTACCAATTTTTGCTCTGTGCCGCCCTCCTCCCCTCCGTGTAGCTGCCCAAGCGGCTTTCTGAGAGGGAGGCGGACACTGATGCCGGGCGGGCGCCCCGGCGGCGAGCAGCTGGCGCGCTGGGCTACGCGCTATCAGCACTGCAGGATGCGCTAGGCCCAGATGCGCATCACGAGGCAGCTGGCAGCAAGGTGGGTTTCAACGGCAGCAAGGCGCTTACATGTATGGTATTTGCTGTTTGCAGCCCATCTCGTGCACATAGTGTCAGCTGGGAGTGCAGGCTTGAGTGGGCATTGTCTGCTTGCGTTACCATGGTGCAGGCACCAGCACGCTTGGACCCTGCAGCTCAGCGTAAGAGGCGGCTGGTTAGCCATTCACAGGAGGGGTCAGGCGCAGAAGAGGTGGAGCAGCAGGCAGTGCCTGCCGCCAAGAGGACCGCGGCCGGCAGCGCTGCGCTGGCCAGGCCCCGTGTTGTCCCTGTTGCCGCTAACAAGCCCGCGGCACCAGCGGCGCAGCAGCAGGAGGCGGCTGTCCCGCCGCCTAAGAGCATTGATGAAATCCGCAAGGTGGGTTGGCAACCTTTGATGGCCAGCGGCCTGCAGGGCCTGCAGCCTATTTGTTTGGCTCTCCGGGCCATCATGGGTTGTGCTTCACGTTACCTCGCATGCCAAGCCTCAGTGCAACCTGCTCTGCTGCCTGCATTGCTGGTGCAGGAGAAGCGGCTGCAGCGGTTTGCACCTCTGCAGGGCACCAAGCCCGCAGCTGCAGCAGCACAGCCGGCGGCGCCCAAGGTGTGCTGCCGCTGCGGTTCATTGCTGCGACACTGTGCTGCATGCATCTGGAGTGGAGCGCAAAATTGCTGCTCTTGCGTATGAACTCAAATTGCTTGCGTTTTATTGCAGGCCTCTGGCAGCGGGACCAAGAGGCATGCCCCCATCGTGTTCCAGCCCGAGCAGGCCGCCTCGCCGACAGCCTCGCCACCAGCGGTGTCGGCGGCCTCCAAGCAGCCACCAAAGGCTGCGGTACCAGCCGCCGCCAAGCCTGCCCCCGCGCGGCAGCCTGCCCAGCAGCAGCTGGCAGAGCAGCCCAAGGTGGCGCCCAAGCAGCCTGCGCAGCAGCAGCCGGCTGAGGAGGCGCTGGAGCTTGGCGACGACGACGTGAGTGCGGCTGACTGGAGAGAGTGGCTGTCACCATGTGCAGGCAGAACCGTCGCGCACCAAAGCGTTCCTTGTTCTGCTGCTTCTGATTGTGTGTGTTTCCCTGCCTGCCACCCCCTGCTGCAGCTGGACTTTGAGGGAATGGAGAGCGGGGATGGTGGGGGCGGAGATGGTGCGGATGAGGACGACTTTGAGGCGCAGATGCGGGAGCTGGAAGAGGGGCTGTGACGCTGCATGGCACATCGCCGTTTGCCTGCGCTGGGCAGAACCAATAGGAGAAGGCACAGCATGCATGCACGTTCCCACACAGCATGCCTCGACGACATAAGTTCTTCCCCATGCCCTAAACTTCCAGAGCGCTGCCTGCCTCGGTGGCATCGTGTGTTCCACGTCTCTCTTTCCTTGTTGCTTCTTCCTCCAGTTTAATGCATTCCGAATGCGCATTTCTATTCACAAAACAACTGAGTGTCGGCCCAATGACATGGCCCAAGTGCTGTACACCATTCAACTGTGTAACACCGGACAAACTGTGAAGCCCTGAGAAGTGCAGCTGGTACTTCAGAAAAACTGGGAGATATGCAGACGTGATCTGATTGAAGCTGAAACAGAAACGAATGAGTGCAATGCCTTCAGGCAGTATGGCAAACATCAAAACTGGGCGCAGCCACCGGCTCCTGGCTGCCAGGCGCTGCCCCCACCAGCGACACCGTCTCGCAGTCGGCCTGCAACTGCTGCCTCCCTGACTGCGAGGCCGGGGGGGCGTGGTGATACAGCACCGCAATGCCGGTGAGCAGCAGCAGCACCTGGATGATGGCGGGCAGCCTCATGATGCCGGCATACACGCTGGCAGGTTTGGCGAATGCTTGGATGAAGGTCTACAAGACAGAGGAAGCACCAGCATTTGGCGTGGCAGTGGCAGGTGGATTGGATGGGCCGGCTGCAGACGGTGCAGAGTCAAGCGGCCCACCTGCTTCTCCTGGATGCCTGCCGCCATCGTGGCCAGCCCTGCCACAAAGATGGATTTGCCCAGGTAGCTGTGGAGGGGGCCCAGCGCCCTACGCTGGCCCAGCGGGAGCTTGGGCCACACGTAGGCTCCCGCGCCCATCAGGTACTGGAATGTGAGCAGCGACAGAACCGCCATGCCCATCCAGCTGTGGGCGCTGTACCTGCAGCAGCACGGCGACCGTTCAGCAAGAAGGGCAGGGGCTGAGGAAAACACCACAGCGAAGGCATCGCTGCTGCTGCTGACCAACTCACAGGTTGGGCACAGGGGCAGGGCGCTTGAGCGTGTGCGACTTGAATGCCGCGACCACGCCCAGCACCGTGCAGATGAGCGCCGCCGTGTGCAGCAAAAAGTGGTATGCCTTGCTGTGCGCCCTGCACACAGCATGCAGGCACGGGCAGCTGGTGGGCAGGCGCAGATGGCAACTCGTTCAAGCGTATGCCCGGTGCTGCAGCGCACCTGTCCTTCACCGGAACCAGCGGGGCTCTGTAAGCCAGCACCGCTTCCGCCATGAGCACAGGGAAGCCCAGGGTGAGGAGCAGCGGGTGCCAGTTGAACAACTGGCTCGTGTCGTTGCTTTCACCGTCGGCGGTGGGGCGCGGGGAGAGGCGCAGGCCGCCGAGGAGGAAAATCCAGGAGGCCATTGCCAACAGCACGGCTCCTTGCAGCGCCCTGGTGAGATGCTTGATCGCTGGTGGAGCTGGGGGGCCCAGCCAGAAGGCCACGACGGGGGCCTCTGCGCCAGGCGACATAGCTCTGCTGCCTGCCGCACGCTGCTTGCCAATCAAGGAGCGGGGCTTGGAGCCCATTGGTTCCGGGGTGTGGTCTCGGGCCTGCTGTCTTCAGCGTGCCGCTGTACGGCCGCCTCCCAAGCACTACGGCCACATTCCTTCACGCCCATGCCTCCCAGGCACCTCATCGTGGAACTGGCAATCAGGGCAGGTCATAAGAGCAAGCGCAGCGGGCAGATTTCACAGGATCAGCGAGGGGCTCACTCCAGCAGAAGCCATCACGGCAGCGTCCTCAGCCAGTCCGCAGAAGGCTGCCCTAATAGCGCTGCAGGCCTGCAGTCATGGCACGCTATGATCGGGCCATCACGGTGTTCAGCCCTGATGGGCACCTGTTTCAGGTGTGCGGTGCTCGCAGGCTGCGCCCTGCATCGGCAGCCTGGCGGACGTCCAGGTCTTGGGGCAGTGATCACTAGCTGGTGACGCATGGGGCGGTGGTGGCGGTGGCGCTCTCCTCCCTGCTGTTTGCACTCCGCCCTGAACTCTCGCAGCTGGCACGCTGCCGCAGGTGGAGTATGCGCTAGAGGCGGTGCGCAAGGGCGCGCTGGCGGTGGGTGTGCGGGGCACGGACGCCATTGTGCTGGGCGTGGAGAAGAAGGCGGTGGCCAAGCTGCAGGTGCGGCATGCCAGCCAGGCAGGCATGCCATTTGGCATGCATTTTCCGCTGCGGCATGTTGCGCATCCTGTTGCTGTGGCTGCCCCACGCTTGGCCCTAATGTCATGCAGCCAGCACCACACATGCCAACCCGCTTGTCCCCACTGCTTGCCCCGCCCCCGTCTCTGCCGCAGGTCGCCCAGACGGTGCGCAAGATTGCCCAGATCGACGACCACATCTGCCTGGCCTTTGCCGGGCTGACGGCGGACGCGCGGGTGCTGATCAACAAGGCGCGCATAGAGGCGCAGAGCCACCGGTACGTCGCTGCTGGTTGGCTGGGGAGGGAGGGAGGGAGAGAGGCTGGGAGGCGGCCCGCTCCCGGCCTGCCTGCCTAGTTCCCTGGTCCTCCTGCGTGCATCTTGGCTGCGAGGCGGTGGCGGTGACGCTGTGCTGCGTACGCGTGTTGCCGTGCGGTGCAGGCTGACGCTGGATGAGCGTGCCAGCGTGGAGCACATGACGCGGTACATTGCGGGGGTGCAGCAGAAGTACACGCAGTCCGGCGGCGTGCGCCCCTTTGGCATCTCCACCCTCATCGTGGGCTTCGACCCGCTGGGCCGCCCCGCCCTGTACCAGACCGACCCTTCGGGAACCTACTCAGCCTGGAAGGCAAACGCCATTGGCCGCAACTCCAAGACCGTGCGGTGAGCGGCGGGGCGGGGAGGGTGGTGGGGTGGGCCGTCAGGGGGCGGGGCAACAGCGGGTCTGGGGAGGTGGGGGGCAGGCGGTGTGGAGCTCTCCAGTCTACTGGATGATGTTGTTGCCGCTTTTCGGCCCTTCCTGCATTGCGCCTGCCACCGCCACCGCCACCACCGCCACCGCCCCCACGCCCCTCCATGCAGCGAGTACCTGGAGAAGAACTATGCGGAGAGCAGCGGGCGGGAGACGCTGAAGCAGGCGCTGCGGGCGCTGACGGAGGTGGTGGAGGGCAGCAGCAAGAACATCGAGGTGGCGGTGGTGGAGAAGGAGGCGGGGCTGCGCTTCCTGTCAGGTGCGCGCGCGCGTGGGCCCGGCCCAGGCGCAGGCCACGCCAGCCGCCGCCGTGCCGGACGGGCCCAAGCACGCCACGGTTGGGGCGGCTGCACGTCGCTCCACCACCTGTGCCGCGCACCCACGCCCGCCTACCTGGCATGCGTGCAGACGAGGATGTGGATGGGCTGGTGAAGGAGATTGAGGAGGAGAAGGCAGCAGCGCAGCCGCAGAGGCCGGCGGCGCAGCCATAGCGGTAGCGGCAGTCGGCAGCGGCGGCCAGTCGCAGCCCTCTGGTCCCGCCGGCATGTAACAACACACATCCTGCCGGCAGCTTCAATGGCCTGGGTGGGGTGTAACAAGGGACCTGCCTAGGCGCAGGCACCGGTTTGCAGCCGCAGTTAACAGCCGAAACAGAAGGCCAGAAGCCCTGGCTCTCCTGTTCCAATGCTTCAAACCGGTCCATTTCGCTGCCCTGTGTTTTCATCGTCGCCTGGTGTCGCATCCTCCGTGCCTGCCGCTGCCTTCTTCCCCAGGCCCGCAGCAGCCGCAGCCGGCTGCGCCCGCTCCTCGGCGGGAGGAGGCACGTCTGCTGCAGCACCTCCGCCTGCTGCGGCCATTGCTTGCGCGACATCTTCTGCCTCTGATCTGGGCGCTGCCGCCCGCGCTGCTGCAGCGTCGCCCCCGGCTTTGACTGGGAACCCCGCCTCGTCAGCCCGCTGCCAGGTGTAGGCGCAGCACCACAGCCAGCTGGGGCTCACTACATGCTTGCCCTGCAGGCAGGCAGGCAGGCAGGCAGGCAGAGGCCAGCGCAGGTGGGTGCAGCACGCGGGTGCGGAAGCAAGCGGCCAGGTGCGGCAGCAGCCAGCGCCAGCCATCCAGCATCAGAAACAGCGGCCACCGCACCTGGCCGCACGCCCAGCGCGTCTTGTCAGTTGTGTCAGTTGCCACCACATGCGTCACGCCCTGCCCCGTCTCCCGCACACACTCGGCGCCCAGCTGCGCGCAACAGCGCCGGCGGGGAGCAGCAGCGGGCTGAGCAGCAGGCCTGGCACGCAGCTGGGTGCATGGCCAGCCCGGGAGCCACCCAGCCCAGTCCGGTTGGGCGCAGGCGGGGCCGACAGCCGCCATGGCGCATGCTTGCTCCCCTCCCACTGCTGCCCCGCCTCCCCACTCACCTTGAGCGCCAGCTGCCACAGCGGGTGCGCCGACGGGTCGGCGCAGTCCAGCGGCATCACCCGGCTGAACAGCAGGCGGCACTCCGCCAGAACCGCCCTCCTGGCCGCACCCAGCAGCGGCCGCACGTCGGCGGCGCCAGGGTCGCCTGCAGGCACGCCGCCTCCTCTGCATTCAAGGCCTGCGCCCTTCACAGGCCATCCACCCAGCGCGCGGCATGCGGGCACCGGCTGGCAACTACACCCACCTTGCTCGAAGAACTGCTGCTGCACCCCCGACATGACCCGCAGGCAGGTGGCCAGCGCCCCGCCGCCCCCCTCCTCATCCACCGCCCGCTCCAGCAGCGACTGGCTCCTGCGCGCCGGCGGCAGCAGGGCGGGGTGCGGCGGCTTCTGCAGATGCGCTGTGCAGGCCCCAAGAGCCGCGCCTCCAGCGCCGCTACTAGCCCACCCGCCTCTCTCACACACAGCCCTGCCCCGCCACCCCCCACCCCCACCTGAACCCGAAGCGCGCCGCATCGGCGGGGAAGTACAGGTAGCGCTCGATCTGCACCAGGTTGTCCCTGTGCCGCGGCCACACCCCCTCTGTGTCGTCCAGGATCAGCACGCACCGCTCCCGCCCCAGCACCACATCCAGGTCCTTGACGTACCGCTGCGTGGAGTCGCCCTGCGGGGGGGCGGGGCGTGGGGGGGGGGGGGGGGGGGGCGGGGCTG